TTACTTGTCACTTGTCAGCCCAAACCTGGATATTGTGCAGATCTTGTTGCGTTTGTACATGGACTGTTTCGGTACCTGAGGAGTCGTGAATGGTGCTGAACATTGTGCAATTATGTACGAACGTCCCCACTTCTGATGGAGGAAAGGTCATTGATGAAGCGGCTGAAGATGGTTTGGCCTAGGACAGCTGAGATACTGACGACCAACAACCACATCCATCTTTCTATGTGTCAGGTATGATTCTAACCACTGGAGAGTTTGTCCCCGCATTCCCAATGATTCTGGTTTTGTAAGGGCTCCTCGATGCCACGCTCGGTCGGATGCAGCCTTAATGTCAAGGGCTGTCACTGTTAATTCACCTCTGGAATTCAGCTGTTTTGTCCATGCTTGAACCAAGGCTGTAATGAGGCCAGGAGCTGAGTGGTCTTGGTGGAACCCAAACTGGGCATCACCTGAGCAGGTGTTGCTTGACAGCAATGTTGATGACACCTTCCATCATTTTATTGATAAACAATAAACAGAGTAGACTGATGGAGCAGTAATTGGCTGGGTTGGATTTGTCTTGCTTTTTATATACAGGACATACTTGGGCAATTTTCCACATTATCAGGTAAATGCCAGTGTTAAACTGGAACAGCTTGGCTAGGGGAGTGGCAAGTTCTGGAGCACAAGTCTTCAGTGCTATTGCTGGAATGTTGTTAGGGCCCATAGCCTTTGCAGGATCCATTGTCTCCAACCGTTCAGTCTTATCTTTTGCACTGATGTACTGGGCTCTTCCATCATTAAGGATGGGAATATTTGTGGAGCCTCCTCCTCCAATGAGTTGTTTAATTGTCCACCACCATTCACGACTGGATGTGGCAGGACTTGCAGAGCTTAGATCTGATCTGTTGGTTGTGGGATTGCTTAGCTCTGTCTGTCACTTGCTGCTTTCGCTGTTTGGCGTGCAAGTAGTCCTGTTTGTGGCTTCACCAGGTTGACACCTCATCTTCAGGTATGTCTGGTGCTGCTCCTGGCATGCCCTCCTGCACTCTCGATTGAACCAGGGTTGATCCCCTGGCTTGTTGATAATGGTTGAATGGGGGATATGCCGGTCCATGAGGTTTACAGATTGTGCTGGAGTACAAATCTACTGCTGTTGATGGCCCGCTGCACCTCATGATGCCTAGTCTTGAGTTGCCAGATCTGTTTGAAGTCCGTCCCATTTAGCATGCTGATAGTGCCACGCAACAAGATGGAAGTTATTCTCAATGTGAAGCTGGGATTCGTCCCCACAAAGACTGTGCAGTGGTTGCTCTTACCAATACTGTCAAGGACAGATGCATCTGCAGCTGGCAGATTGATAAGGATGAGGTCAAATATGTCTTTCCCTCTTGATTCCCTCACCACCTGCCACAGACCCACTCTAGCAGCTGAGGGAGGACAGTATGTGGTAATCAGGATGTTTTCCTGCCCATGTTTAATCTGAAGTCCTGAGATTTCATGGGATCCAAGTCAATGTCGAGAACTTCCAGGGCAACTCCCTCACGGCTGTATTTCACTTAGCTGCCACCTGTGCTGGGTCTCTCCTGACATATCCAGGGATGGTGGTGTCTGGGACATAGTCTGTCAGGTATGATTCCATGGTAAGGCTATGTCAGGCTGTTGCTTGACTAGTCTGTGTGAGACAGCTCTCCCAATTTTGGCACTAGCTCCCAAATGTTAGTAAGGAGGAATTTGCAGGGTCAACAGGGCTGTTTCTACTATTGTCTGTTCCGGTACCTAGGATATTAAAAGAAGTAGCTACAGATATAATGGATGCACAGGTCCTAATCTTCCATGAAGTGTTGGAAAAATCTCAAATGATTGAAAGCTCCCAATGTAACGTCTTTATTTAAATAGTTAAGAAGACAGGGAAAAAAGGAGTCTAAATGCCAGTTAGTTTAATATCTGTTATTGGAAAAATGTTAGAGTCTGTTGTAAAGGATGTAATAACAGAGCATTTAGAAATGCATAATATGATCAACCAGAGAGCGCATGGATTCACAAAGGGAAAAATTTTGCCTTTCAAATTTATTGAAAATTTGAGGTAACAACAGCAATGATAAAGGGGAAGTAGCAGATGTAATATATTTGAATTTTCAGAAAATCTTTGAGGCGATATCTGTTAGGCTACTTAAGATAAAAGTCCTTCATGTTGGAGGTGATATAGTTGTATGGATATTATATTGGTTAATTAATAGAAGAGACAGAAATGGGATAAGAGGAATATTTTCAGGATGGCAGCCTCTAACTAGTGGAGTGCCACAGGGATCAGTGCTGGGTTGGGGTTGCACAGTTATTTACAATATGACTAAGTCAAGTCAATGTAAGTCCAAGTTTGCAGATGACACAAAATAGTGGAAATGTAAGTGGTGAGCATGACAAAGGGATATAGACAGGTTAAGCAAGTGGGCAAAAACTTGGTAGATGGAACAGAATGTCAAAGATGTGAGGTTGTGTGTTTTGGTAGGAAGAGTAGAGGTGCTTAATAGTTTTTAAATGGAGAAAGACTGAAAAAAGTTACAACACAGAGGAAGTTGGGAGTTCTCATTAATAAATCATAAAATGCTAGCCTAAGTCAACAGGCAATAGTGAAGCTAAATGGAATGTTGTCCTTTATATCGAAGTGAATGGTGTACAAAAATTAGGGCAGTCTTACTAAAACTATACAAGGTACTTGTCAAATGAGAGCTGGAATGCCGTGAACAAAACTGGGTCCCTCATCTAAGGCAATATGTAGCATTGGAGGCAGTCCAGAGAAGTTTCATTAGGCTGATTCCAGGTATGGAGGGTCTATCTTATGAGGAAAGTTTTTGAATAGGTAGGTCTGTATTCATTGAAGTTTAGAAGAATACGTGAGGACCCTTATTAAAACATACAAGATTTTTAGGGGACATGACAGGTTAGATGTGGAAAGGTTGCTTCCACTTGTGGGGAAAATTAAGGACCAGAAGGCATAATCTTCGAATAAAGGGTCACCCTTTTAAGGCGGAGGTAAGGTGGAATTTCTTGTGGAATTCTTCACTGCAGAGGCTGGATCGTTAAGGATATTCAGGGTCAAGATAGGCAGATTTTTAATCGGTAAGAAAAGCAAGGATTATGGGGAAAAGGCAGAAAAGTTGAGTTGAGGATTACCAGATCAGCCATGATCTCATTGAGTGGTGGAGGAGACTCAATGAGCTGAATGAACTGCTTCAGTTCCTTCATCTTATGGTTTTACAAGTCTCAAATTTACTATCTACTTTTTGAAACAGCTAACAGTTACACGTAAACGTGAGAATAGAAAATGTTGAGAGTCATTAAATGTTGCCAGTAGATTGAGGAACTTCTCAACTTTATCAAGTGCACATAAATCACCATAAAGTGTGGGAAAGGTAGAGTATAGAAAATATCTTGTACCTGAGTAGTTAACTTTTAAAAATTTGGTTAAGTTGTGCAGTATAGATAGAAGCTTGAGTTTCTGAGAGCATGTGACAAATTACATATTCAAAACTTGTGTTGATAACTATTGATGAAAAAGACACAGCATCTTTTGGGTCTAACACTTTTTTTTAAAAAAAAAAAAGTCCCAGTTTGGAACAGTTCTTTGTCTGTTCACTTTAGCCTGAGACCAGGCAAAGGGAAATTCTGGTTTTCTTTGTGAGCATGCCCAATTCCAAATTTTTTTAGGATTTAACTAATACTGTACTTGCGTTTTAATCTTCACAGGGCAAATGAAGGCATAGCATTATGGAAAGTTCACCAAGATCTGTGTAACTGCTACGTGTGCTGAACTGTGTGACATACAATAAATATAGATTGGAATGCAAAATAATCATGTTCATTCAAGTGATTAAAAATAATTGTGCGAAAACATTTAAAATACAAACATTGCGATTTGTGAATCAAAGCTGTTGAAGTTGGCTAATTCTGGTTATGATTTATGAAGACTTGGTTCAAGAGATTCTAGCATGTTAACAGGTGTGTGGAAACATGCCCACCAGAGGGGTATGGAGATTTGAAGACATTTCTGCCCAAAGTTATAATTATGGTAAATCAGTTCAGCTATTTTGCTGATTTAGCTAACCTTGCTTAATAGTTATCAATAACAACAAACAATGAACGAGAACCAAATTGTTTTGTAAAGTGCTTCTGGAACTATGGTCTTGTCATTATGGCACAGAATGTGTACAGAGTAGCTACTTGCTCAGTATTCTGATTTGTTTAGATCATAGTTGCCTCCTTAATTGTGCCATCAAAATTAAGCTGAGGTTAGCAATAACACTCGCATTAACTGTATCTATTATGTGGTGTTTCAGACCAAGTACTACAAGTTTTGTACAGTCTATGTATTTACAGTAACAAGTTTTACCTTACTATATTAGAGATATAGATCTCTGTTCAGAACTCCAGTGAAACCTTCTTTTCTACAGTGCTACAGGCTTAACTGTACAAACGAACCTTAACTGTCGGAACTAACACTAGCCTGACAGTCAGCTTGGTAGTTCCATTATGTTCGGAGTTTCTAGTTTGCCAGCATAACAGTAAAACACTAGAAATTTTTTTGTGTCCATCACACATATCTGTGAACCTTTTGCATAAGCTTATTTAGATTTATTTCTAGAGCAAAAGTGAGAATTTTTGTACATAACCAGTTGTTGTGATGAGGAATAGAGTGCCTGAAAGGTGATATAAACAGTTTCAACAGTAAGTTTCAGAAGGGAATTAAAAAATACTTGAAAGGAAAAAAAATTCCAGAACTATGGGAAAAGGGTATGGGTTTGAGATTGACTAGGTAACATTTTTCGAAGAGCCAGTACATGAATGGTAGGCAGAATGGCTGCCTTTTGTGCAGTACAATTCTACATTTCAAACATTAAGCCATCTTTCAGAATTGAGCAATGGTTTTCCATTTACATATTTATAATTTGTAACTGTAAAGTATGCTGTATTGTTTTACAAAAATTTTATGTCATTGAAGCATGTCTCATTTTCTATAGCAGTACATCAAAATTCCTGCTCCTAAATCAGACTGCCATGATGGTGTGCGATGTTTTTCATTCTACTTGTCAACCGACAGCAAGGACAAGCCGCAAGCAAGTTTTGACTGTATACACCAGTATGTTTCAAGGTAAAAAAAAAAATGCATAGCTGTCAAGGCATGATTTTAAGTGCCACTACTGTGTCAAGCCTGTACATTTTATGTATTGATCTAAGACAAATCACTTGAGTAAGTGCCAATTAACTGAAAATTCCTGTTGGTATTTTGAAAACTTGTTTTATAAAGGATGAAATTTCTTCTAGGTTTGATTTGCAGGCTCACTGTGTTTGTTTTTACTACTTTTATGTTCTTGTTGCTCAGTTTTCGACTGTTTATTGTGTCTTCCTCCTCCATGGCGTTTTCCTCTTTCTTCCCAGTGAAATCTGGAACATGAAGATCTTACACTTTTTATTTTGCCTGTTGTTTTCATGCAGATTTCTGAGGCAAGAAATTATGATTATCATTTTTGTGTCCTCCAAAGTTCATTTGGTCTGTGCTGGGTATCTATAAAGAATGATGTTCCAAATACCTGCACAAATATTAAGCATTTCTTTGGTGGATTCCTCCAGTTTGATTAACTATTATTTGGAGATAAAGCTTTTGTGGTGTATCGGGGGAATCCTTAATGTAATTGCCACTGTGCAAATTTCCATTGAGGGCTTCTGATTTGAAGGAAATAATCAAACTAATTAGAAGCATAATATCCAGAGCCTTCCATATTCATATATTACAGTTCAACCTTATTAAATTGTCTCTGGTCAGAATTTATATTTTTTCTCCAAAATAATTGTTTAAACTGGAACAAAAGAGCTTTATAGGGCATTTTCTGCATCCCTCACATGTCCTCAAGTGCTTCACAGTCAATGTATTACTTTGGAGGGGAAGTGATTTGGCTAGTATTTTTGCCAAGAAAATTACACTGTGCAAAGTCCCATTACGAGCTAATTGACTAGGTAAATTGGTTTGATGTTGATCCTACTCTTTCATACCTTCCAACAGAGGCCTCAGTTTAATGTTTTATCCAAAAGATGTCGCCTGTGACAATATAGCTCCTTCTCAGTCCTGTATTACTGTACTCAAGTCCTGGAATAGAGTTTGAGATCATTGACCTTCTGACTCTGAGGCAGGAATTCTATGAATGAATTCTGCTCATAGTTTGTTTTTAACTCTGAACGCAGTGAAAGCGTCTTATGTCTTTCATAATTTGCTACCAGATCTGCCACTTTTGTGTTAATGGCGTGCTAAATTTATCTCCGTATAAAAGCTATTTTGTTTAAATATACAATCTTCCTTGTTCACTGCTAGAATTGAACCACCTCTGGAAAATGTTCTAGGGAAATCGAGTGGCAGGCTATTCCCCCACTAGCCATGTGTTGACAGCAGAAGCTTATTTCCCAGCCAAGAATAATAATCTGCTGCCCTTAGAATTGCCTTCATAACAGGTTTTTCTTTTGTCAATATTCTTAGGTTTTAAAATTAGAAACTGAGATTCAAGTGAATGAACAATTAACATTTATTTTACATGTTAATGAAAATATGAATCTCTTCACAATCATTTTATGTACTTTTTTCTGATATTACTATAAAGCCTTTTGAGTTTGCTAGCTGTGTTCCTTGTTTCTGTTCAGTTTCCATTGACGTTTTCTGCAATTTTTTTTTAATTTTTAAGAAGTTAAGTGAACAAGTTCACAAGTGTTGTGTTGTTCTTGGTTAATGTATTTTAATCTGCTTCACTACCTACATGTCAAAAGGGCATGTTGAGTTCTCGTGATGTTGTTCATGGATAAAAATGTCAAAAACTGTTTTAATTAAGCAACTCACTGGCGGAGGAGGCTCCACAAATATCCCCATCCTCCATAACTTGCCGCTCACCTAGGCAGGCTCCCCCAGTACAGCTACAACACTGGCATTAGCCGACAATGTGGAAAAATTGTCTAGGTATACACCATTAAATGGTGGAGCAGGCTGGAAAGGCTGAATAGCCTATTCCTATGCCCATTTTTTATGTTTCTATGACAAGATTGTTGCTTTCAACAATGGATTGCTATTTAATTCCGTAAAAACCACACATCAGCTATGTGGTCATTCAAAATGAAAAGCAAATCAAGAGCACTTCAAAGACTTTTTTTAAAAGTTTCTAATTTTTTTATTTGATTTCACACTAGTTTTTCTCTAATGACACGGGCTTGTCTTTTTATAGCAATGACTACTTGTGCTTTAAATTTCCACCTACGTAAGTGCTGCATACTTGTTCCACTTAGTGTTCTGCCACTATATTAATATCTATGCCTGGATGTTTGAATCGTGTGGAAATACAGCTTCTGTTGCATTCCTTTTAGATCTCTTCGCATACTAAACCGTCATTTTGGTTTTAGAAGAAAGTACTAAATTTATTCTGTCATCATGGTTGTTTGATTTTCTTTAGCGTTGTAGGCAAGTGCTTAATTTTGGACACACTTGGATTTCCTTCTAAAAGTAGTCCATTTCCTTTGGATCGAGTAATTCAATTCCTTAATTTTATCTGTTTCCTCACAAATCAGAGCAAGAATGTCATTTCCACAATGTGCAGCCTGATAGACCTTGTGTCTGACTGCAGAATCTGTCCCAAAAGCCAACTGAAACCCGTTTCTAAGCAAAGGTTATAGAATGGACAGTGAATTGCAATGAGCGCACTGGCAGAAGGCCATATCTCTCAGGAGATGGGAGGGTGGCCCATGGAATTTTGTTTAGCCCATTCAGCAGTGCTGTACAGCATTGAATTAGCTTCTATTAGCAACTTTTTGAAAGTCACTTGTGTAGAATAATTTGTATGTTGGTAAAACTATAGTATACACTTACCGGGAATAGGACTGACTGGATAGCTCCAAAAAGAGCTGGCATGGTTTTGACGGTCTGACTGGTCTCCTTCTGAACTGTAAAAATTCTGTAACAAATGGATAGAAAATTTGTTGATACAATATGCAACTTCACCAGTGTGTGGCTGTGGCATTTATATGGTACATGATTAAGATACTTTGTGGCCTGGTATCATACCATGGTCAATGCCCTCTGTGACATTTTTGATAATTACTGGATTTCATCAGTGTTACATTGCAATAATGTGTATAGGATGGTGTAAGTTTTTAGTCAATCCTTAATCTACAGGCAGATGATTTATTCTTTATTCAAACTTAATGTATAAATCAAAGATTCATTGACTTAATTGTAATTAGGAAAATCTTTTCTCTACTACAGGGAAAGATCTAGGACTTTTTTTTTTAAGTTCAATAATAGTGACACTTAACAACAACAAAACTTCCCAAGGCTTTTGAATGAGGGTATAGTCAGACAAAAATGGATAACAAGCTGAAAAAAGTGTTAATGGACGACCATAAGCTTGATCAAAGCATTGAGCTTTCAGGAAGATCTTGGACATGTCATGACAGTGGATATTTTAGAAAGGAATTCCATCATGAGAAGCCTAGAGAGCCTAAAGTATGACCTTCAGTAATGGGGTAAATTATGCACAAGAATCTTGAGTCCAAGGGCTGAAGAATTCTGGAGGCAGGACAGGTGTTACAGGGTTGGTGGGCATTCATTAAGAGGAGTTAGTGAATGAAGCTGAGTCAATGTAGGTGAGTGAGGGTGGGGTTAACAGATGAGAGTGACATGGGTTAAGGTATGAGTGTTAAAGTTACAGAGGAGCTGAAATTTTCTGAGTTGGTCTCTGTTGAATTGGACTAATTGAGACTTAAGAATTTATTCTCACTTGACGGAGAACTTGATGGAAATAAAAATCTAAGAGCAGCACCCTGTTTGTAAAAAAAAATGCCAAATTGAATATAATGAGCATTATGAAGAAGTAACCAGCAAAATCAATAGTTTTAGGGTTGTCCCTCAAACATCCCTCTTTGCAAAAGCAATCGTGTGTTTCTTTATTGCCTGGTTTTGGCTTAAGAATGAATATGAGAAAAGTTGAGGGAGAGATATCTCCCATTTGTAGAGTTCCCCAATCTCTTAGATTATTTTCTTGATTTCTCACATTGAGGTCTTCTGATCAGATGAGAAGCACTTGCTTCTTGGAGCAGAGGGGAGTTTAGAGTTCATTCTCCATAACATGAGAGGACCTTGATAACTGGGTTCTCTGTGCTCTACCAACTTTACCTCCACTCTGAGGATGAGGTAATTTTAAAATACAACTTATAGCTTGTCTCAATACTTCAATTGCAGACAGATTTATTATGGCACAGGTGGAGTTTTAAATTCATGTAGGGCTGAGCATGACATCACATCTTCTGTACTTTTTAAAACTTTTGGCTCAGCCAGTACTGTGCTGAGGACGCCATTATTCACACACACTTCAATGCTTGAGCCTATTTTTAAAAAAGGCAAAATTGTTGGCAAGATTCATTTCGGGTCCATCTTCAGTTACTAATTTTAATAATTTCCTGCTCTCAAGAAGAGGAAGTGACAGAGTGTTTTAGAAATAGACTTGGATTAAACTGAAATTGTGTTATGCAAAAGGATTTGTTTAATTTGTGTATAAGTGCCACTAAATAAGCATTTACAATCTTTGCACTAATGATAATGCTGTAAAGATGTTGTCATCACTTATTAGCATCCATAGCCTCCGATCCACTACCTGATCAAAACTCCATGGTGTCAGAAATTAACAGAGCCCATTGTTTCTAAACAGACTAGGCTTATGGGACCTCGTGGTCGAGTCCTCCTAGTTTTTGTTCATAATTGCCATGAGCAGATGGAGCCCTTCAAGATACAAAGAGAAGGATATGATACATAAATCCTGATTCCTTTATCAAATCATTTTTTTTTTTAGAAACCAACATACCTTATTAGATCACTAAATTTCCATACTTTAACTGAAAGTTTTCATACGTTCACGCAACATCACAGGTGAGCAAGCATAATCGTATCTGGCTGAAATAAAGGAAGTACTTAAGATTCTATAACTGTACATTTTGAAGTTGACATTCATGCAAAAAACAAATGGTTATCATCTTGGCTAATGTACTGACTGCCTGTTTAAGTGCATATATTTTAATTGTTGGAGACTGTGGCCCAATATGTGATGAATGCTTGGAAAGTGAGAGAATACTTGTGCTCCTATAGGTCACAATTTAATGGGTTTGTGTTTTTTCTTTTCAGCAAGCCAGCAGAAAATTTTAACTTCTGGTTTTCTCTAATCTATTAATTCTTGTTTAGATTAAAGGATTGTTGATCTGCATTTGGCAGTGGTGCTCCCATGACTTTGTAGATAGATAGGGATATCTTTAAGGCACATGTCTCCACTGTTGAATACAGTTGATGCAGCATTTATATGCAATCATTATAGATTGAGCTTCAGAGAGCAAGAATGATCATAGAATCTTAGAGGCGTACAGCATAGAAACAGACCCCTTTGGTCCAACTCGTCCATGCCAACCAGATTTCCTAAATTAATCTAGTCCCATTTGCCAGCATTTGGCCCATATCCCTCTAAACCCTTCTTATTCATATACCCATCCAGATGCCTTTTAAATGTCACAATTGTACCAGCGTCCCCACTTCCTCTGACAGCTTATTCCATACATGCACCACCATCTGTGTGAAAAGGTTGCCTCTTAGATCCCTTTTAACTCTTCTCCCTCTCACCTTAAACCTATGCACTCTAGTTTTAGACTCCCCTATTCTGGGGAAAAGATCTTGACTATTCACCCTATCCATGCCCCTCATGATTTTATAAGTGTCTACAAGATCACTCCTTGGCCTCCAACTCTCCAGGGAAAATAGCCCCAGCCTATTCAGCCTCTCACTCTTGCTCAAACCCTTCAACCCTGGCAAAGTCCTTGTAAATCTTTTCTGAACCCTTTCAAGTTCCACAATATCTTTTGTATAGCAGGGAGACCAGAATTGAATGCTGTACTCCAAAAGTGGCCTAACCAGTGTCCTGTACAGCCGCAACATGACTTCCGAATGACTGTACTCCATGCACTGCCATGATTGATATACTTCTCAACCCCATTCACCTGCTTGTCCCCAAACTGTTCATCCCCTTATGAATCAAGAACATGTATTACGGTGCAGAATGTTGTTAGGGATTGGGAAACATGGGAAGCTGGCCCATTTTCACCAGCTCCTCAAATATTCATCATTACCTATAGCCAAAATCTCCTGCCCTTGTACATACACCCAATTTCTATCTAAGTAACAATCCTGAATGTCTCCATCCACCCCAACTCCAGGCTCTGCATTCCCACACCCTAAACACTGTCTTAAGAGACATAGGTCCAGTATAAGATTAAAATACAGTTACGTCTCTTTGAGAAATTTCTATTTTGTAATGGTTCAGTGTGCATGCATGTCTTCAAATTATTATTTCAAAAATAGATTAGAAATTGCATCAATTTTTGTTTTCTTACAGAATGAACATAGTATATTTTGCATGCGGTCAATACGTGTCAAAGGAAATTTTTTTGAATCTTGAATTTGTTTTGCTTTTATTTAAACCAGTTTCGAAAAAGATCAACTTGACTGCCTGGGGAGTATTCAGGATAAAATCACAGTTTGTGCCACTGATGACTCTTACCAGATGACTCGAGAACGGGTGTCACAAGTAGAAAAGGAGTCATGGAGTCGAACAACTATAGAAATTAAACCAGACTCATCATGTCAAGGTATAGAAACCACACACACGTAATAATCATGTGTAAATCTCTCCCTAAGGGCTTTGTGGGTTGACCTACAGTGCATGGACTGCAATGGTTCAAGAAGGCAGCTCACTACCACCTTCTCCAAGGGCAACTATGGATAAGCAATAAATGCTGGCCAGCCAGCAATGTCCACCTCCCATGAATAATTATAAAGAAACTGTTTATATTCGTAATTCAACAAAACGTGCCTGTTGTAACCACAGACTCAGCTGGTCTAATAATTTCTCTCCTGCAGAAATATACCCTTGTGATTTCTTGCTGACTCTCTAACTTGGGAAATTGGTGGAAAACTAAATTGTGCCTGATCACAATATTTCAGTTGTAGCATGTTTCTTAAAAATTCCTGTTGTGACGACCAATATACATTTTTTGATTAAATATTTCCTATTCTATTTTATCATGTACATTTATAAATGTATGAATTTCCACATAATGAAACGTTGTTAGTGGCTTCCCAAATAAATTAGTTACTGAAATATATAGAGTAAAATATGCTCTAATTGCATTTTATTTATTCAACCTTCACATCAGAGCTAGTGCAGCTTCGTTCTGGAAACTGAAGACCTGTGACAAAATAGTCTCTTTATAATCTATGTCCAACTTACAGAATACAGTTATGATTGTTGGACTTTTTCCTTATTGGCAAATGCTGTGTGCTTTGGCAGTGCTGTCCAGTTAATTTGCTGAGCAGTTGCTGCATAAATTAGAGCAACAAAAATAATTGCAGGTTATGAGAGAGCTGGGCGATTGGATGTAATTTGCTCAAACTGTATCATACATGAAATTTCCAAAATATCTAGCAACTGTGATGCTTTGACCAAAGTATATTTTTCATGTACTTTGTATACATGGCAACCTTAGTTTTTCAGGAGGTAACCCCAAAACTTCCAGAACTGGAGGGTATTTAGAGTTGAAAATAAAGAAGCATTGCATTAATTACTTGGACTACATTTAGAAGGGCAACTGTGAAACCAATCAAATACTTCTCAACGTGGGTAAAAACAACAAAAAAAAGTAGTTATCATAGAAAGTACACAAATAATCATCGTGATGAGTTAGTGGCCAAGATTATAAATGCTGATTGATTTTCTTTCTAAGAAAGGAGTTAATGTTCAAAATCAGAAGTTGTGGAAAAGCTCAGCAGGTCTGGCAGCATCTGTGAAGAAAAAAAGTCAGTGTTAACGTTTCGGGTCCGGTGACCCTTCCGCAGCGGACCCGAAACATTACCTCTGACTTTTTTCTTCACAGATGATGCTAGAATTTGCTGAGCTTTTCCAGCAACTTCTGTTTTCGTTCCTGATTTACAGCATCCACAGTTCTTTCGGTTTTTATTTAAGGAGTTATTGTTGTCTGGAACTTTTGTGTAATGCGTGTGTAGAAGTTGAGCTCACTGATCTATCACTCCAAAACTGTAGCACAGGAACAATATGTTTGTAAAATGTACTAGAGCTGTATTGTAGGTTTTTTGTCCTTTGCAGCAGCGTATGGTTAAGAATATTGAGCAAAAGAATGTGTTTGAAAATTTTATCAAATAAACCTCAGCTACATTTTATAAAGAGTTGATAACTATTTTAATTATTTCGGCAATATCTCGGCTTTCTAATCATGAACAATCACCTTGTCTGTTCAGTGTAACCCAAGACAAGCATACCTGTTACTGTTGTAAAAATTGACCCTATGATATTTGGCGTAAAATATTGGCTTTTACGCAAGTATACAGGGTAAGTGTTGTATGATACTGTTGGTGGTAAGTGAGTTGAGTCAGTAACCTATTGTTACACCTAGCCATTGTTATCTTCCCCCTTTGATGTCAAGAACGCCTGTTTACAGCCTTTAAAATCCAGTTTTGTCTCCTAGGTGTGCGAAAGCCAGTCCATTTTCGAAAGCAAACAGTAAGTCCTGCTGGAGATGGCATTCCACTTCGAAAACCCTCTCCTACCATGAATCCAAGCTTTGGAATGAAGAAAAACTGTATCAGTACAGTTACCCAAAGACCTCTTAAAGATCGCCTCATCCATCTTTTAGCTTTGAAGCCCTATAAAAAGCCTGAGCTGCTTCTATGGTTGGAGAGAGAGAAAGCAAATCCGAAGGACAAAACGGAACTGTCTTCTGTATTGGAGCAGGTGAGAAAAGCAAAGATAGAACTTGAATTTCTATGGTGCCTTTCCTGGCATTAAGATGAACAACTATTTAGTGGAACACAATATTCTGTTTGTCACTCTGTGCTATTACTGAATCTATTTTGATAAGATTGTCACAAACGCTAACTTGCTTCTCAATTTCCTGATACATTTTGGGGTCTCATGATTTTGTGGAACAGATTGCTTTGTGGTTGATCTCGTATGCCACTTTGAAACTTATTTTTGTTTTTCTTTTAAAGCTCATCCAACCTTTTTGAGTGTTTAGTAAATTCAGCCTTTGAAACCTTTCAGTTTATAAAACTGAAACATATAGTTAACTTTAAATATTTAAAATGCACTCACTGATTCTTGTGGCTGGACCAATTAGTATGTTTATATTTTGTTCATATAGTTCTTCTAGATGCTTTACAATGTTACAAAGCTGCTTGCATCACCTCTTGAGAGGCAGGTGCTCTGGTGAAACTGAGTAAGAGTTTAGTTGAAATCTATTTTCAGAAGTTACAGACATGCTGACATGCTATTAAGAAGCCTTAAGTGAAAAAAACAAGTTGCTAATTGGTAGATCATATAATTAATTAACACAAATTAATTTCAAAGGGAATATAACCTGGAGGAAGAAACTCCTTGCCAATAGGAATATTTTAGCAACATTCGATTCTTCAATGCAAATGGCATCTGTTACCTCACAAACTTGCTGTCTGGTGTGAACCCTCTCTTAGGTTTTTTAGCTTCACTCAACGGATTAATTGCTACTGTCAAAGCAGTGTTTTCTTTCTGCTGGCAGCCCTGCTCAAGGAAATCCCTTTGTCTGACCTGTCTAATCCACTGCTTTAAGTAGTTCTAGGGAAATCCTTCTGCTACCAGAGCAAGTGGCAGGCTCCTACTTACAGCCAAAACATTGTTCTTCGGCCCTGAATTCAGGTCTTAATATTGGCAATTCATCACTGCGCCTTGTCTCCAAATCAGCTCTGCAAGTCCCAGTGTCCGTTGCTAATTCCTGCCTCCTTTTTTTTCTTCTCTCCTTGTTTCCAAGATTGTTACTCTTACTGCAAAAAGTATCTTTTATTGTTCTTTGCTCGTATTTAAAGATGGGAAGAAACTGCCATCAGTCATGTTAGAAGATTGATTCATGTGTGGAGCAAAATTTACTGAGGAAGGTGCTTTATAAGAGTCAGAGTCATACACAACAGAAACACCCTTTGGTCCGAGTCGTCCGCACCGACCATGTATCCCACTATATTTAGAGGAATAGCAGACATGTCATTCATCTTGAGTGTATGCACTGTACAGATTCAACAACTCAAATCAATAGATATCCATCCTGAGTGATTATTGGAGATGATTTCAGTTGGATTCATCTTTGTACAAACAATTCTTTGTTTTCAGGTCCTGTGACAGTTTATATTGCTTTAAGTTTTATGTATTGCATTGAGTATATTGTTCGCACTTGAGCAGTGTTATATTTGCATTGTCAGCATTACATTAGGATCAGATTGACTGACTGCAGTACATTGCAGAACAACAGAAAATCATACATGACTCTTTGGGAACCGTCATTAATAAAAAACAGCTTGTAAAGTTTTGAGAGAAGGAATGTAAATAGTTTGCTTCTAATTGGTCTGAGAATATACCAAATGTCCAATCACTGTCTCCATGTCACAGAAAAGTAATAGAATATGCAGAGCATTGTATAAAAGCTTAATATTGAAACACAGCAGATTATCTCACCTGTGTAACTGATGCTTTTGCAGGTTGACTTGTTTTTGCATCAGGATCTGTATATATCAGAGTGCATTTGGTACTTTAATTTTTTTTTAGGTCTGAACAACAATACTACAATATTTCTGAGGTAACTTTGAAAACTGAAATATTGCTTAAATGAATCATTGAACATCTGAAAGCATGCAGGACCTATTAGAATAAGCTTGTATTTTCTATTGTTCTGGTGTTCTGGTGGAACCCATTTCATATACAGATTTTCGTAAAATGAAGTTGTTTATTATACAGCATCTGCCAACTGTTAGATGACAATTATGCCATATGGAGTATCTAAATTCAAATACATACTAAACAGTTTATTCAGGACATGCACTTCCAACTGCAAGATTTACTTCCGGCTACACAGCTTCTGTCAACATTCAGCATTGACAATCCTAGTTAAAATTTAAAAACTATATCTGTTTGTATTATTTTAATTAGAATGGCACTGTAAGCACTTAATCATTTTTTGTCATGGTTTGTTATCAGTGCTTTCAGAAAAATTACTTAGGCGCTATCTTTACACGCAAATCAATGTCTATAGTCAGAAAAATGTTTTTTAAAAAAAAGTCAATAAATGTAGAGCTGGAAAAGCACAGCAGGTCAGACAGCATTTTTTAAAAAAATTTTAATAAAATAGATATTGCATAATGGTGTGGAAGAGCAAGTTACATTTATATAATGCATCTTGGGCCATTACATCCAATTAATTATTTTGAAATATAGTCTGATGTTTTGTAGGCAGATACAGCAGCTGACTTGTGCAGAATGCCACAAACAGCTGTGACATAAATGGCCAATTAATGGTAGGTAGTTGAAAGAGAAGAGCATGCTTGAATGTATGTAATCAAGATGTAGCATAATTGGCTGACAATACGCAGTGGCCCCCTTTATCTTGAAAATCAGTTTTTAGCTCATTTTACTGTTTTTAAAATCAACCAGATGCAATATTTACTACATTATCTTGTGCTCCCAAGTCATCTATCACTCGCTTTAGGGAATTAGTGAATAATAACTTGAGAGCTTGCTTTCAGATTAGGACCTGCTACAGAAGTGTTTCAACTGGTGTAAATAATGCAGTACATTCCATTATAAAGCCTTAAGTGTGCATTATAAGTGTACACAGTATAGCCTAATTATGGCACTAAAATTTACTTTTTTTAATATTGCATTAAAATGAGTGATTACTATGTCTTATCAGAACTTTGGATTGTGCTGACAACAGAGAGACATTTCATTGCTTTGAGTCAAGCAGTCTTGCAAAGTATATCATAAAACTGTTTAAGCTCCTTTTATTTTAAATACCTTAGATGTGCTAAAACTTGTTGACTTGTAAATGAATATTGTGTCAAGTTGAGCATGCATGCTAAGGGATTATGGAATTTATTACATCTGACAGCTGAAACTCTGGATTCTGTAGCAGGATATAAAGTTGACATTAGTTTTCGTTTTAATCCATCTATTCAGAGATGTTATTACACACCCCTAGAGCAGGTAGGACTTGAATCTGGGCCTCCTGGCTCGGAAATAGTGACATTTCCATTGCACCACCAGACTCTTTTTTTTTTTTAAATTGTTTATTGCTGAAACCAGGAATTGAACCAGAGACCTTTCTCCAGTCTGAGGCTCTTCCAACAGCACTATTTCAATGATGTGGTCAGGCTTGCAGACATTTACTCTGTGTTCCCGAATTGGCACTTCATGTCCGAATAACTGTGTAAAAAGTAACTCTTGACCTTGCCATTTGATATCTGTGACCTTAAATGTGTACTCATAACTGACTCAAATACATCATAATACTCATTTATAGAAATATCCAAATTCAAAGATCAGGATTATATAATGAGAAGTTTGCTGCAGTACAGTTTTACCTTGGAAATTATGATTTCAGCATGAAGTAAGTTTTTTTTTTTTTGTCCAATGTTGCAGTTAATTTACACAGCATGAAAATGTTTTTGTGTTCTAAGAATGCACTTGTTTATTTGCAATAAAGTAAAAGTAAAACTTAAGTTTTGTTGTAACACCTATTCTGTTGAAACTGACAAGATAACACTGGAAGTTCACTATGTAGCAGTAAAAATACATCCTATTTTACATGACTTTTTTTTTCTCCAACCATCCATGCGTGCACCAACTTTCAACTAAGATGGCATTATGGTGTCAAATCCTGTCTTGGATTCAACTTGCTGTTTGGTTATTTAGTTCTGACCGTACATACTATTTTCTCTGTCCAGGTAGCAAAGGTAAATGTAAAGGACAACAACAGCTATACACTAAAAGATGAGCTCTACAAGGAAATTCAACAGGATTGGCCTGGTTATAGTGATGAAGAAAAACAGTTGATTCGAAGACACCTAATAAGGTTGACATTCATGTAATTATGATTACATAAATCTGCATTGCAAACACTTTTCTCATACTTTGCAGCTCCTACTGAAAAATGTTAAAAGTTTTTTTGGAGGAAAAGGAGAAAATCAGTTATTTTGTGCAAGGATTTCAGGCCTTAGTTTTACCTAGACCAGAAGTCTAGGATTTATAAGCAAGTGCCAATCTACATATATTTCCACCAATAATAATTAATCTCCAAATATATCTACTTGAAACGCACTGGTGTAGTCCTGAGCAGTGAAGTGCTTTACCTAGATATATGTAGAGATTAATTAGAGGCGTTGACCGGACTAGCCACAGTTCCACTTTGCAAATAGATGTCCTATCCAGACTATGCTTGGGTAATCTCATGGGAACTCACTGACTGTACTTCCCATTAGATTATTTACACTAACTGATATGAAATGCTCATTTAAAATGACTGATATAGTATTGTAACTCATTGTACTATACTGCTATAGTGAAGCTGTGTTTAAACTGGTCTGTGTCATGACGTCAAAAAGCTTATTATTATTGATCAAACAGCTTCAAAAAATACAAACTGATTTGTCACATCCAGATACAATTCATATTGACAAAATATCAATGAACAGCAATTAATCAGTTTAAAAGGTGAAGTCAGAACATGAAGAAAAGCTAAGAATTCATTCAAACAACTAAACAAACAGTGAGTAGTCTGGAAACATCGCCATTAACCAAGGAAACTGGCAAACTCAATTATTTTGAATAGTACATTTACCTTCCATCTTGTGTTTTGTCACAGATTCTCACCAACAGTGCACTTTATAAGCCTTAAAAATACAAAATTTACTAATAGTTATTTAGATTAACTACATGGTAGTACTTTGTTCAAAATAAATACACTGAATTCTGACCCGTTAATGTAAGCAGGACGTTTTTTGAAAACCAAGAGGGTCTGGATTTTTGCAGAAGTACCAGATCACCCTGCCATGTCCCTGAAGGCTGAAAGCAGAAGCTAGCAAGACCCAAGATAGACAATACATCTTTTGCTAAGGCAATTACCATTATCAGCAATGGGATTCCTCTGTATGCCAAGAAGGGACATGGACGGGGTGAATAGTCAAGGCCTTTACCCTAGGGAAGAGGAGTCTAAAAACTAGAGGGCAAAAGTTTAAGGTGAGAAGGAAAAAATTTAAAAGGGGCGGCAACTTCACGCAGAGGAATGAGCTGCCAGAGAAAGTGCTGGAGGCTGGTACAATGACAATATTTAAAAGGCATCTGGATGGGCATACGAATAGGTCGGGTTTAGAGGGATACGGGCCAAATGCTGGCAAATAGGACTAGATTAACTTAGGATATCTGGTTGGCATGGATGCGTTGGACCAATGTGTCTGTTTCTGTGTTGTAAATCTCTATTGCTCTCAGTCCATCTGTACTTCATCCCAAAGGCTGCAAGGATTTAATGGCTGTCTCTCCAACAGTGATCCCCATCCACTGATAAAATAGTAGTCGAAGCAGGTAGGGTCCTTAACTGGCCATGTGATTGGGCTCCAGGAGACAGGCCCCTCTCTCCCTCCGCTTCTTCCTTCCTTTCCCTTCTCTCTCTCCATCCTCCTCTCCAGCTGATGCTTTGTCCTGACTTGTTTTTCAATCAGATCAAATTCATGCTGTTGGTATTATTCTGAGCTGCACAGAACCATCCAGCTGACTGAGCTAACCAGCTCCACCAACTTGATGGTATACCTTACAAAATAACAACACAGCTGATGAAACTGCACAAATGTAAAATGCAACTCTGCTTAACCATTGAAATGTAAATAAAAACCAAAAGAATTGCCGATGCTACAAGTCAGAATCAAAAACAGAAGTTTCTGGGAAAGCTGAGCAAGTCTGCAGAAGTGTTCTGAGGAAGGGTCACCAGACTCCAAACATGAAGCCTGATTTCTCTTCATAGTTGCTGCCAGTCTTGCTGAGCTTTTCCATTGAAATGTGAATGCCTTTGTTTTGGTTAATTGACAAACTACAAGTTATGAAGTACATGAAGTTGTCTGAATTTTAAGCTAGTTTAAATTGTGTCAAATTAACACGTCAAATAATTTTACCTCCTTTAAAGATCTAGAAGCACTCAGGAAAGTTTTCTGTCTTTTGTCCATCTCTATCTTTGGTACAAAAGTCAAATGTATTGTTAAAGTACTATAAGGTTTCTTAATTTAAAAGCTTAAGTAATTGAAGTTGCTATCTTGTTTAATCTCCAGAAATTTAGTATACTGAATTGTGAAAGATGGTCATGAAATGCTTGTAGTACTCTTAGTTCTAGTTACGAATACTTCTAGTTTTAGGACTAACTGTATAACTCTCTAGTTTCTTGTATATCCAGCATCCGCAATCAAAATACAGGGAAGTCAGAAACTATGCCAAAATATCTGAGTCATCAAGAATGTGGACTTATAGTTCACATGTTTTTGTCTGTCTGGTGTTTTTGCAGATGAAAGCCTTTTATATCTATCAGTAGGCTCTGTGGTTGAATTACAGTTCTTAAAATCTCATGCCTGGGACTTTCCAGTATCTGTGGTTAGCAAACTGCTTTATTTACTGTAAAAGTCCCCTTTACCAGAAAACCTGCAAAGCTTTATACCCGGAAGACTTTCCTATAGTAATTTGTGTTTGTCTGGATCTGGTGAGAATACTTAAGACAGTCTGCTTTCTTAGATCTCAGTCAATTCAGTAAAGATGTGTCAGTGGGTAACACTGAACACCCAAAATTGTTGTTGAACATGTGTGAGATAGGGTGCACTACTTCTGAAAGTTTTCCTGTCTGGGCTTCCTCAAATCCTCAATAAATTCTTAACAGAATGTTAATTGGAACATGTAAGATCAGGTCAGTTTACTTAGCCAGTAAAAACCAAAATGCAGACATTTACAATTCGGATTGAGTAAATCTCTGTGTGTTCACATTAGTTGTATTAGTTGTCCTGTTGCTTTATAAGGTATACCACCAAAACATGCAATTAGTGCACGTTCCCCACAGTCTCACTCCCAGATTCATCCTTTTTTTTAACAGTAAATCTTTCCATTAAGTATTAAGAAATTTTTGTATTAGCATCTGGCCTGTGTAGCTAACAGTTATTTGTTGCCTGTTTTCTTGCTTGCTTGTGCATATATGGTTTGTTAACTTGAATACTAAATACACAAAGTAAACATTTTTGAAGATTTTTACGGGTGTGACTAAACAGTAAATGCTCAGAATTTCTTTTTTTTTTTAACTGTTTAGTAAAGTTTATGCATATAAAAGTGAGGGTTACTAGCACTAGGAAATGGAGCAGTTTTCCATTTTAGTTACCCAGTGTCAACACCAAGCACTCCTAGTGTGGGTTCAGCATGCATGAATACAGAATGAACTTTTCTCTGTGGCAGTGGGCCTTAGTTTCAATCTAAAGAGCATTCCTTGACTGTGCCAATGCAGTATTTACCAATTCCAATGGAGGTCATCCTGTTTGTTCTCCTTATTGATATCCCCAAATTCAAGGTCTTTTTGTGCTGTGAGTAATGCCAGAAATTACCGGTTTCTTCAAACTAGCAGATGCTGACACAAAATACATCCTTTAATATTTGTTACATTTTAGATTAATAGTTTGAGTAGGTTTAGTTGAAACAATTTATGATGTATTCAACCTATTCTCATGAGTGATTTGATTTTTCTTGACGTTTTGATGTTGTTTGTATTGCCGTTGTAAACACAACATTTTTTGGGCGCTAAACTATCCAAACAGCTGATCTATTTGAACAGCAATAGTCTTCCTTACTAATTTTGCATGAAGAATTGTTCAATACCTTTTGAAAATCCAGGTATACTCTATTAATTGGGTTATCCAGGTTCTGTAGTCTAGTTAGCTTGTCAGACATTTCCAATAGGTTTGCTAGGCATGGCCATTTAATTCTAAAACTGTATTTATCTGTACTACTCATTTTCATTTACAGTATCCTGTGCAATGTCTTCTATTCTTTCCTACTATGCTGGTAGGCTAACTGACCTATACTCAATGTGTTCTTAGCTGCTGTCTTGAACATTTGAGCTACGTTTGCAGTCCCAGGTCCTCTGATATATTTCCATTATTTATAATTTGTGATAATTATAAATCTCAGTATCATTAATTTCCTTCTCTTTAATTTCTCAACAATCTGAAACCCATCCCATCATGTTAGTCAGTAATCATTTTAAAATTTAAATATTTCTGTTTATGCAAAGCATGTTGTTTATTAGCTTTTATAATCATAACATCCGTTTATTATGGTGAAATGTTAATTTTATCATATTCATTTGAGAACGCAATTCCAAAAAATCCATTCACCGCATTTGGCACATCCGATAATGGCTTCAGTAGTTTTGTCAATTTGTCTTTGCTGAAGTTCACCATTTCAGAGTAATTATGTAGAAGGATAAATTGTGCACTATTAAGCCTGAATTGGGAGGAGTGAACTGATGGCTTTCCATGCCCAACCCTTAAAGTTTGAATTTAAACAGTGCTATTGCCAATTGTGTGGGATATGCATATTATATATAAATACAAACCGATTTATATATGTTTTATATACATATATGCACACTGCAATATGTAGTATTATGTGTCTGTATACCATTGTCAGTGTGTGTATGTATATGCACTTGCTATTATACACAGTCTGATAGTAGTCCTATAGACCATTATATATCAATCTAGCACAATATCAGAAACAAATCAGCCAGGTTCCTTTAGTAACAGATAAAGAACTAACTTATTGCGAACAAAACTTACTTGAGCAAAAATATGATAATGATTGACAAAAGGTTTAAGATGTGCAAGTATATACAGCTGACATTCTCAAAAACTAACTTTTGTGCACGTATGCACACGTTCCAAATCTTTATTAAAATAGTAATTTAAGGAATAGGAAGAAAATTGTAGTTCACTTAAAGTCTATATGGATGATACTGTTTGCAAGGCAATAGCATTCTAGGCATGAGCTGAGACATCTTTGTATACTCGCTGTAACCAATGTCTCCTTATTGTAGGAAGCGGCAACCATCTCATTCCAGTCAGACCAAGAGTTCACAACTCAGTTCTCCATTCCAGAAGTCCTCAGGGGAATCTTCACCACAATCCAGCCCTGTCAAGAATGCTTTAATGGTATAAAGTCAAATTTATGATTGTTTTTATGTCATTTCAGTAATTTCCTGCATAACCTGTCTGCAGCAACTAAAATATATGGTTTGGATATTGGGGAGCTCTTTTTGATTTTAATAGAATGGTTGCCTTGTTCAAGTTTCCTTAGTGTTAATATGTGATGTTTTATTGAGAACTGGGATATCTTTGAAACTGGACAAACATGGAGTTTGGCTTTGATTTAATGTGAAAGTATAAATGAGCTATATGTATGTGTAAGTGTGTATACGTGTGTGTGTAAATGGATGAGGTTGAAAAGGCATAGGATAACAGTTTGATTGGAAGGAAATGCATGATAGAAATTGAAGGTATTTGACTTGAATAAGGATGCAATTGTTTTTGGTGGTTACAGGATGGGTCTTTTGGGGCTGTCTTCCATAACTCTTGCAATCTAAGCTTTTAATTTCTGCAGTGCAGTGTCCGAATTTACTAATGCGGGCATATTCAGACTGTCAGATATGACAATCAATCGAGGAATTTTGACTGATGGTATGTCTGGATTTTGAAAGTCTTTGTGGTATTTGACTGGCTTTGTTGCAGGAATGTTATTGCTTTTGTTGTTGTTGGCCCAATATTTAAGCTAAAACTAATCTAAACCAATAAGCCCAACATTTTGCAGATTTCACAGTTTAGAGATTAAAATTCAACTTTCTTAAGTTTATATTTATTGTAAAATTCAATGCATCTAGACACCTGTTCACATCAGGCATTAAAATTGGCTAAAGCTGAACATTTTTTTTGACTGTCCAATGTCCTTTGCCCTCTCTTGGCACCTTCCCCCTCATCTATTACAATTAAGTTAAGCAACTGAATACTTTCAAAAGTGGTATTTAAGCTAGTGTGTTCATTAAACTTAGATCTCACCACATGAATGGTACTTGCCATTGGACTCAATTTTAACTGAATATTTCCACAGATGCTGCCAGGCCTGCTGAGTTTCTCCAGCATTTTCTGTTTTTAACCCGGATTTCGGTGATTTATGATTGAACTTTAAATTGGCCAAAGTTGAAACTGGAAGTATTTATTGTTTAAACTTCATATTGTTAAATTGCGGATCTCTTGATAATGTTATGAGAATATGGGGGAAAATATTGCTGCTAGCTGGCACCATTATCGTGAGGAGCAGCTGTTCATTAAATTCAGAACATAAAAAATGTCTTGTGCATCATTGACATCCCATCGTAAACTCATAACTGCAAAATTAAATTGTGGTTGCTACAAAAAGCCTAATGAAGTTGGGTCAAGAAGGCCGACATGTAAACTGTCTCTCTTGCATATGGTGCCAGTAAAAATATTATAGGGCTGCTATCACTGACTACATGAAATATTATATTGCTGTAGTAAAAGGATTGCAGCTGTGTTCACTTTTTGAAAAAGATGTGCCTTTCTTCCAGAAAAGACCAGTGCCTTTGGAGCGGATAGATTCGCACACAAACAAAAGAAGTAAAGTATTCCAGTCCAAGGATCATCTGCAGCTTGTTTCAAATGGACAACATCCTCGTTCAGTATGCCTTACTGCCACAGCAAATTCCTGTGTAACTGTTAAAACCGAGTTCCAGCAGACCCACACTTCGCTGCCTGGGTGTCCAAATGAGTTTAATGAAACATTTAAAAAGTGCAACAATTCTTCAAAAAGTGACTTAAGCAGAAGTGACACAGAATTCAAAAGCAAAAGGGATACTACTGGTAACCCTAGGAACCAGGTTGCACAGGCGAGTTTAGAACAGACAGCTTATCCTCTGAGAGAGAGTGCGGAGCTCTCTGCTAGTCACTATAAAAAAAAATCTAAAAAACACAAAGAAAATGTGAGAGAACATACAAGATCTGAAGTAAGAACGTGGCGAAAAGAAAGTCCAATACATCAGGTTGGAAAACTGCATGAAGAGACTAACGAAGGTAACCTTTATGTTAGAGTTTTTGAAATTATGATGCTCCTACCTTTTGCAGTGTCTGAGTCCTCAACATAGCAGTCACTATGGATGAATGATTAGAAAGTGGTATTAGTAACTTTATGACTCTTGTAGAGGTGATTTTGACACTTCTCATTACAACTTTAAATGTAGAGAGTTTCACGTAGCTCTTGATAAGTGTTTGCTTCCTCCCAGTCCTGCATCTCTGTGCTGATGAAGCTACTCTAGAAAATAGGTCTTGTTAGGGAATGGTATTAAGGAATATAGAGCCAAGGTGAGTACGTGCAACTGAGATTGGAGCTGCTTTTTTCTAACTGAAGGCTGAAGAGACTAGAGGGGCTGAATGGCCTATTCCTATTCCTGTGTTTCTAGAAGTCAGAGGCCATAGCCAACAATGAGGGCATAATTAAACACTGCTCAATAATAGGAAGGAGAGCAAAGAAAAGTGGTTGGGGTTGAACGGAGTTGATGAATATAGTTTCATCTGAGAAGGGCAGAACCCATTAAACCTGTATTAATTGTGCATCACAACAACAGTGACAGGAGCTGTCATCAGCATGTAATTGTAAGTGAAACCTGAGTCATGATTTTGAGTTAACTAATGAAATGAGATTAACTATAAAGTGTTAATTTTTACTGTACGTTTTAGAAAAATATACTGTTTAATATAGCAGTACAAATCTGTATGTTCTTCTGTAGGTTTGATAATAGAAGAGATTAATTACTCTTATTTTCAGCTACCTTAGCTGTTCAAATATCGTGCCTAAGGTTCTGTGAAACATGGCAGGTGCAGTGAAGTGCATATGCTATTAGCCATATATACAACGTGCCAAAGATTTTTTTGTTTTGTTGATTACTGGCCATAAATAGCTATGAAGATCCAATAACCCAAGCATCTGATGCCAGTGAAGTCTTTAAAAGAAATTGATTATAGATTGTTGCCAATGTCTATTACCAAAAAAAGCCTTGTAATTACTAAAGGCAATTAGTAAGGTCCATTGACATTTAGTATTTTAGATAGTCAAGTAACCTGTATGATCTTATCTACAGAGCATGAAACCACAAATACATCTGCAACCGCTAGTTCAACAGTGGAAATGCCTGACTATTTATTGTGAGTAGTTTTAATTCAGTAAAAAAAAAAAATTTGCATTAGGAAATTGCTATATTTAGTGAAGCTGCTGTTGCTTTCTATCTGTACACTAATGCATGTTGACAATGATATATCTGACAGACTGAAAATATAAAAGGCTTTTGATCTGCACACTAAAGTTTCCCTAGTTTTATACTATGGTGTCTTAGCTGCATTGTTACTCACAGTTCAGCAGGAACTCTATACTATTGACAAGCCAAATGCCAAAATGCAGCGTAATTGATAGGTTTGAAGGTGGAAGATTCAAATGCCTGTATTAAATTTGATGTTGGCAGCAGAGAAGACAATTTGACTTTTGTAGGTCCACTCCAAATTAACTTAGAGCAGACCATTCCACAAAACATCACTGCCTTGAGTGAGCAGCAAATCTATGCAATTGTTCTTTCATCCAGAACGGTGGGTTACTTTACACGCTACCTATACTATCTTGCAGTGCGTTTTGAAAATGGCAGTAAGTTGATCATTTGCTTATCTGCATGAAGGAGGACGAAAGAAAGACACACCCAGAGATACTGCTGTTTTAAAATATAAAAGCAGGGTTGAGGCCTCCTCCCCCATTCTGTAGTGCAGCCTTGTTCTGGAATCATTTAATAACTCTTCTTTCTTAGATTTTGCAATGACTAACAAGTGGAAATATCCCCATTTCTAGCAAGTTTTGGTTTCTCTTTCAAATTCCTAGATGTTTACTGTGTGGCAATATTAGTTTATTTTTAAATTTTAGTTTTTGAAGACTTGTGTCGCCTGTTTTCAATTGATATCCAGAGGTTTCGTAGACCGGGTTGTCTTGCTTAAAGAATTTCATCAAATGGGATTTATTCCTGTAACAGTTGTTCACGTTGCCATCCATTGTTGTTCTTGATATGACTGTCTTGCTTTCCCTAGTGGCTTGATTAGCTAGAGACTTGAGCAGAGGTAGAGATTTTATATAGTAATGACCATTTAAAGATCCACCAGCTGAGTAATGCATTTTGCTAATTTAAACCTCAAGGGAAGACGTATTTATATTCCATGAGTTGTCATTTCCTTATCTGGTCATAGAATCGCAGAGTCACAGAGCATGAAAACAGATCCTTTGGTCCAACTTGACCATGCCAACCGAATTTCCCAACTAGACTAGTCCCATTTGCCTGCATTTGGCCAATATCCCTCTAAACCTTTCCTATTCGTGTACTTATCCAAATATCTTTTAAATGGCGTATGTACCTTCATCTACCACTTCCCCTGGCAGTTAATTCCACATACGAACCACCCTCTGCATGAAAAAGTTGCTCCTCAGGTCCCTTTTAAATCTTTCTCCTCTCACCTTAAATATATGCCCCCTAGTTTTGAACTTCCCCACCTTAAGAAAAAGACCTTTTGCTGTTCACCTTATCCAAACCCCCATGACCTTGTAAACCTCTGTGCTCCAGTGAGAAAAGTTCCATCCTACCCAGCCTCTCCATATAACTCAAACCATCCAGTCCTGGCAACATCCTGAACCCACTCCAATTTGATAATATTCTTCCTACAACAGGATAACCAGAATTGTACACAGTACTCTAAAAGTGGCCTCATCAATGTCCTGTACAAATTGCAATTTAAAATTGTGCCATTGATAGCCCAGATAAATGCAAGAGATTTGGCATCAACTAATTGCATCTGTCATCAATTATTCTTCAATTGTAGGACTAGGTTTTCCTGCAGGCATCAATTAAATCACTGCTTGATGATCAATCTTCCTGTCAAAGAGTAGTGGTAAACTGGATCTATCTTCCCCAAAAAGGCTTGGATCAATTGGGAAAATTTGAAAATTGGAATTTGAGGCTGAGGACGAGAGAGTTTTTTTTAGTTAGGTAAGGGTATCACTGGAAATGGGAGATCAGGGAACTAAATAGATCTGACGAACTGAGCATTGGTGATGTTGCTGAATGATGGACAAACTCCGTGAGGCTGAATACTGTTGTTACATTCCTGTGCAACCAAACTGGTGATTCTGTGCAAATTGCTTTTGGGATTAAACTGGATGCATGTGTTTCAGCCAGCACAGACATGATGGGCCAAATGGCCACCTTCTGTGCTGATGGTTTCAATGACTCTGTTTCAACAAATTGGCTTAATGGCAGGAGACAGTGGCGGTGAAGGATTGCTTTTTGGACTGGACGCTTGTCACCAGTGGTGTTCCGCAGGGATTGGTTCTGCGTCCTCTTTTTTTATCATTTATATAAATGATTTGGATTAGAATATAGAAGGCTGGTAAATAAATTTGTGGGCAACACCAAAAAGATTACAAAGGGATCTTGATCAAATGGGTTGAAAAATGGTAGATAGAGTTCAATCTGGATAAATGTGAAGTATTGCATTTTGATACAACAAACAAGGGTAGGGCTTTATACAGTTAATGGTGGGTGCTTGGATTAGTGTTGTAGAACAGAGGGATTAAGGGGTGCAGGTACATAATTCTTTTAAAGTTGTGTCACGTATAGAAACAGTGGTTAAAAAGGCCTTTGGCACGCTTACCTTCATTGGTGAGGCCCCTTCTGGAATACTGTGTCCAGTTCTGGTCGCCCAATTGATGAAGAATATTATTAAGCTAGAAAGGGTTCAGAGGAGATTTACCAGGATGTTGCTGGGTATGGAAGGTTTGAGTTATAAAGGAAGGCTGGATAGTCTGGGACTTTTTTTCACTGAAGTGTGGGAGGTTGAGAGGTGACCTTCTAGAAGTTTTTAAAATAATGAGAGGTATAGATAAGGTTAATGGTAGTTGGCTTATCCCTAAAATGGGGCCTTCAAGACTAGGGGACACATTTTTAAGCTGAGAAGAGAGAGATTTAATAAAAGACATGAGGCCAATTTTTTACACAGGATGGTTTGTGTGTGGAATGAACTTCCTGAGGTAGTGGTGGATGTGGGTACAATTACAATTACATGAATAGGAAAGGTTTGGAGGGATATGGGCCAGGAGCAGGCAGGTGGGGCTAATTTAGTTTGGGATTATGTTTGGCATGGACTGTTTGGGCCAAAGAGCCTGTTTCTGTGCTGTATGACTGTATGGTCCTTGGGTTCATATTGATCAGTGAGTCTTCTCTGCTTTTAAGCCTGAAGGGGTTTAAAACTTTATCTTGTCTTTACAGATGTCGTTACAGATTGCAAAGAGGAGAGGCAAATGAGCACAAGTGAGAAGTAATCAAAGTGTAAAACTCTCTTGGGAACTGACTCCTTTATAGCCTTTGATTCACTGTTCTGTACAGCTGAATAAAAGGCTGTTGGTATTGGTTAGTCTTTTTAGATTGGTCTGCTTTCCAATTCCCTCCTTAGTTCTATTCAATTTTCATGTCCACTCAAAGGTAATTGGCAGCCTCAGTGAGACCAAGGCATGACATATAAAGGTACACTGTGTAAGATGCAACCAACTATATTTAAATGTCTTGCTGCCATGACATTAGGTACAATTAATTTGTGTTGAAGGTGACTCCGTTAAACTATCTATGTTAGCTAATAGCAAAATGACTACAGTCGGGAGTAGGTACTCAAACATTGTTTGCCTATGTTCACCCAGTTGAGCTTTTCAAGATCTCAGACAGAGCTCCCTGCAGGGTCTAATTACCTGTAGCTAATTTCTTCCATTGCAAAGTTTGCTACTGGCTTGGAATACTTATCTCTTTCGATGGAAGGTTCCCAGGTTAGATGGGCTAAGAAAGTGGGATGTCAGGCAGAAATCAGAGGGCCTAGGAGGTTTCAGTTTTATGGTAATGAATAAGCCTGACTTGGCCTCTGTATCAGAAGCAATTCAACAGGTGAGATTCCTTGTCACTGTATAGCTTCATCTGATAGTACTAGTCAGAATCATCAAGACTGCTTGCACTGTTCTGCTGAGATACCCATACCAGTAGGATGAAGGAATGGCACTACAGTGCTTCAATCAGTGTCCTGAATCTGCCAAGCTACATGCTAAGTGACAAAGTGGCCTTAAGGGTTATGCAGCCAAAACTTTATAGCTTAGCTTATGGATGATAATGGAATAGTTTAGGTTAGATGGGCTTCAGATTGGTTTCACAGGTCAGCGCAACATCGAGGGCCGAAGGGCCTGTACTGCGCTGTAATGTTCTATGTTCTATCTTTCACATTGCAGATGATGTGCAATTTTTTTTCAGTTTTGCTTTCTAGTATGTTGTAGCTTTCCCTTCATTTTTTTTTCTTGTGTCTTGTTTGCATAATGAAGGAGCAGTACTTTGAAAGCTCGTGATTTCAGATAAACCTGTTGGTTGTGTGACTTTTGACTACATGAAAGAAGTCACAGGCCTGATCCTGAATCTTTACTTTGTGAATGTCAAGGGATCCATTTGAAGATGTTTTTGCATACTTATTGATGGAGGATATGTCTTTTTACCCTATAGCTACCATCCTTCTCACTGACTGCAGGATGCCTTTGTACACAATCCATCCTCCTTGTGCCTATATGTTACAATGAGATGGTTAGGATTAAAGTTGAGGCATGCATTCTAGTGGTGGTGCATTTTCTCAAGATGTTATTACTTCTGAGGATTTTGGTGAGGGAGAGCATTAGAGTTATCCTCGACTTTGGACATTAAGGGACACTTATGTCGTAGTGTCCTCATGTAGATGGACAAATGCATTTGTGTTTTTTATTCATTCATGGAATGTGATCATTGGTCAGGCCAGCATTTATGGCCCAGACAGTAGGTGACAGCCACCTATATTGCTGTGGATCTGGGGTCACGTGGAGGCCATATCAGTTAGGGATGGCAGATTTCCTTCCCTAAAGGACACTAGTGAACCAGATATTTTTTTTTTACGACCGTCGACAGTGGTTACCATTAGGCTAGCTTTTCAGATATTCCAGATTTTTATTGATTTAAAATTTCATGATTCCATCATGGTGGAATTCAAAACCATGTTCCCAGAGCATTAACCAGGGGTTCTGGATTACTAGTGCAATAGGGAAATGAGGAAAGTGCCCTTGGGGTGAATATTGGGGAATTCCAATACAATTGCTACCTCTCTGCTTAGTTACATTTAGCCTTTGAAATGTTAACTGAATATTTTTGTTCAATGATATCTAGAAGAGTAGCAAAAATGTGTTCCTGTTATGCTTGAAGGAAGTAATGCCTTTGATTTTCTTTGGCTAATTTTAAAAGCATTCACTCTGCTTGATTTTAAATTTCAGGAATTTTAAATTTTGTGTTATATTGCTAAAATGCTTGAAGGTTTGTATAGTGACTGGCTGTCTTAATCCTGTTTTATTAAACTTCCTTCTTTTTTGTTGACTTTCCTGAACTCAGCTGAAAGCAAGTATTTACTTCTTGATGTTTCATAATTGAGTGGGTTGATGCATATTTGCAGAAGTGAATAGGATGATTGTCATAGACCCCTGTAACAGGTTCTGACTGGCTAATTCGAGGAATTGAGTCTACTTGGGGGTGGGGGGGGAAATCTAGATGAAAGTTTTGAGGGCATTTCTCTGGAATACATGATCTAGATATTCCTCAGTACAAAAGCTTGGCCTTGAGTTAGCTTAGAATCTGGAATGGTCATTTTGGGTCTTTGTTCTGTCAAACGTTGGTGCCATCTGCTGGTAGTTCTGTCTTGCAATATTAACTGTTAATATTTATACCACTGACCCCTGCTGGAAGAAAATAACCAGTTATTATTTATACAGTACCGAATGTTCATTCATTCCAAATATAGACTGGAAAGTATTCAAAAAGGAAATTTGCATGATTTGCTGGAGCTTTTAAGAAATTAAGTTTGCTTTGCTGGTGAGCAGCATAGGTCCAGCTGTCAGATGGATAATGGCAGGTTTAAAGTCCAATGTTGTGTATTACGTGTTGTTACAACGAGGGTTCTAATGTCATGTTTGGTCAGACTGCTATTCTAGCACTTGACTGAATACTGGAAACCATTGGTATAGCGGAGCACAACACCTGAGAAGGAAAAAAATTTTTGCTAGTATTATAAGTGGAGAAAAATAAGTTAACATTTCGGGTCGAGTGATTCTTAGTTCTGAGGAAGGGTCAGTCGACCCAAAATGTTAACCTCTGATTTCTCTCCAAGATGCTGCCAGACATGCTGAGCTTTTCCAGCAATTTCTGTTGTTGTTTCTGATTTATATCATCTGCAGTTCTTTCAGTTTTTATTTGCTAGTAGTATTTTATTTCACCTGGGATAATTATTGGTCCAGAGTCAGACTGCTGACACTTTCTGATGAAAGGGATTATTTTTACCTTTTTATAAGTATTTGCAAAGGTGAAAATAAAGATGTGTTCCTTAAGCTTTCTGACTTGCGCCTGTCAGGAGAAATGCAAGAATGCCAAACTTTAAAGATCATTATTTATACTGCAGTGTAAGAGCGCTGAATGATTAACATGTCATCCCTGGTTGAGATGTTGCTGTGGAAAAATCATCCAGGAATTATAGGCTCCCTAACTCTGGGGTAATTCAAAACAGGCACAAAGGTTTAGCCATCCTTTTTGTTTGTAGAGAATGGGCCCTGTAAATGAATATGTGTCACCTTTGATTTATCTGGGAGCTTCAAGAGCTCACTGTTTGTTGCTTCATCTGTGGCAAATTTGGCATTTTGTCCTTGAGTACAAGACCAAACGTTTTGGCAAAATGTCTCTCTTTGCAAAAGTATTCAAGTCTGTACTGCCAAGCGGTTCTACAAAAGTTACATCAATCCCAATGCCAAAACTCAACCAGATAAAATAGACTTGCAGTAAAATTTATTTATCAAGTACCTTCATAAAACTGTTCAAGAATTCTGGCCTCTGGTTCTATCATTTTTTTTTTCAACAATGATCTAAAATATACTTGGGGCATAATTTTGATGTCATTTGTAAAACCATATGACATTTCTGGAGACAGCCTATCCACTAAGACCGTGAGACGTAAGAGTAAAAGTAGGACACTTAGTTCATCAAATCAGCTGTACCGTTCAATGAGATTGTAGCTGGATGACAATCTTTAACACCAGTTCCCTGCCTTTTTCCCATAGCCCTCGATATCATTCCTGATTACAAAATCTGTCTATCTCAGCCTTAGAGTCATGGAGATATAACAGCACGGAAAATATACTTAGTGCCCCAACCTCTACAGCGCTCTAAAAGAATTGCACAGATTAACAACCCTCTGAGAAAAGAAATTCCTCCTTATCACTGTCTGAAATGGACGGCAAACCTTTTTTCTGAGACTGTGCCCTTTGGTCCTAGACTCTCCCACAAGGGGAAATGATCTTTCTATATCTACCCAGTCAAATTCCTATGAATTTTGTATTTTTCAAGGAGGTCACCCCTCATTCTGTCATTCTTCTAAACTCCATTGAGTACAGACCCAATTTACTTGGCATCTCCTCATAACACAGTTCCTCCAAACTCAGAATAAACTTTGTGAACCTCCTCTGGCCTGACTGCATTGTCAGTATATTGCTCCTTAGATAAGGAAAACAAAATTGTTTACAGTATTGCAGCTGTTATGACTAGTGTCCTGTACAGTTTTAGCATGATCTGACTCTTTGGATACTCCATTCCCTTCGAAACAAAGGCCAGCATTCCATTTGCCTTCCATATTAACTGCTGAACTTGTATGCTAGATCTTTATGATTTATGTTTGAGGAGTTGCAAATGCCTCTGTAGTTTTCTGCAGTCTTTCTCCATTTAAATATTATTGAACGTCTCTTCTTCCTGCAAAAGTGCATAACCTCTCATTTTCCCACGTTATATTATTTCTGCCATATTCTTTGTCTGCTCGCTTAACCTATCTATATTTATCTCCAGAGTCTTTGTATCATCCTTGCCGCGTGCTCTCCCATGTATTTTTGTCATGCAAAAACGTGGCTATAGTTCATTCACTTTCCTTATCCAAGTCACTCATATACATTGTAACTAATTGTGGCCCTGGCACTGATCCATTTGCCACTATTTTAAGTTGCATTTTCGCTGACATATTCTTCTTCTTTTTTGCTGCATTCACTGATTCTGCTAGTTTTTATATTCTAATAATTTCCTAGAATTTTTTTCCAATCTAAGTTAAATAATATCTGCTTGAAAGTTAGAGAAGGAAATGATTTTTACTGTTTCTAAAAAGACATTTTGGATATATATGCATTAATTTTTTAAAAAAATGCTTCCTTATTTAAGTTTGGATGTTGAAATTTTTTTTTGTTAGAACAGAATGCAAGAGAAAATTCTACACATGATACAAATGTTCTGTGTACAGCAGAAAAAAAAGCGAGCTGGACAAAATTTCATTCACATTAGGGATGTATTGAATCGTATGGGTTAAGAACTTGAAAGTTCTCGAGTGAAAATTAGTATAAATTGAAACACCATAATTATATCAAAGAAATGGTAGAAATCCTAGGACTTCTTTCCCATCTGTCCTTCAACAAATTTCCCACAAAGCGTTTCAGAAAATTGAAGAATCTTTGTTTTTCTTTCAGTTTGTATTCAATTATTGCTTTTAAATTCTGTGGTTTTGGAAACTTGGTGATAACAATATAATTATTTTTGCAGAAAGTACACTGCAATTACATCTTTAGAATTGTACCAGAATTATCGGAATGACTTCAATGCAGAATACAGTGAATATAGGGATCTTCATGCAAAAATTGGAAGTGTAACTGAGCGGTTCATGCAGTTGGGATCAAAAATCAAAACACTTAGCCCGGGAACAGAGGATTACAAGGTAAGAGAATGCATATTATTTGATTAACAGAGATTGATGCTGTTCAGTCCTCTACCATCACACTCTTGCTTCTTCTTAGTTCTCCCCACCCACTACCCCATCACCTCTGCTCTCACTACCAAATTCCTCTCTCTAATCCCTCCCCACCCGCTTGCTAATTACCCGTCATTTTCACCCTCTGTCTCTCTCACCCTTCTCTCCCTTGCTCTTCTCTCTCACTCCCCCCGCCACCCCTGTCGTGCTTGCTCTCTCGCCCCCATTTGATTTTATTAATAATTATATTGTAACATTGGTGTTATCTGTGCCAGTAGAATGTGTTAATTCAGTAGCCTGAGATAACAAGGTGTAGAGCTGGATGAACACAGCAGGCCAAGCAGCAT